CAAATGACTGCCACAGCCAGAGCCAAAACCCAGAGTTCAATCCAGGTTTCTGACACAGTGACAGGGACCCAGGTAGTTGAACCATTATCCGCTGCTTCCAAGGAAGCTAGATTGGAAGCCAAGAAGTTGGAAGTCGAACCAGGTACTCTAACGTGGGATGTAAGTGACCCATGGGATCACTTAACCATGCTGCCTAACACCCTCCGGTGTCACAGATTTAATGATCAGAACCGTAGGGCTCTCCTCTGCACCACCACAGTGACGACACAGATTTGGGGGACTTGGGTATGTTTCTAAGTATTCTCATAGTTTGGATATCTTACCATCAATGCTGTCGTGTGTTGAGGAATTTTGGTAAAATGCCTGAAGTATGCAGTGGAAACACATCAGTGAATACAACAAATTACAGAATCCCTACTCTCACAGGAGCATTCCAGCTGGAGGGGGAAAAAAAAAGAACCCAAATCAGCACATGATAGCTGGGGATCAATATGATGCAGAAAACAAAATAGGATTCAGGAGAAGAGTCCTAGGATGCTAAGGCGGTGAGAAGAGAGGGCTGTAATATTAATAATATCATGGTGGCATGAGAAAGTGATACACACCTAAAGCAGGTGACAGAGTCTATCTGTGTGGGCACAGGTTTCCAGGTAAAGGAACAGCCTGTGCCAAAACCCTTCCTGGGGTATTCCAGCCAAAGTGGGACGCCTGGTGTAATTACAGCAAAGTGAACGTGGAGAATGAGAGGCGCATGGACAGGGAGCTCCCGGTGGAGTAAGTGTGGACTGGGTATTTATTAACACACATAGAAGCTGCAAGACCTTCCTGGCAGAGCAGTAGGATTGTGAGAGTTTGTGTGTTTCTCAGTTACATACAAATCTCATGTAATTATGATCAGGTAAAAGAAACTACAAAAATCAAGTTTGATTGTATTGTGCAATATAGGCAGTAAGAGTGGGAACTTCTCATTATATGTCCCTTCCGTGGGTGGTGTAGGAAACACTTTAGAGCCGGATCTTACCTTGGGTCTTCCTTACTTTCTTTCCTTTCTCTCTGTTGAGGGGTGGACAAAGATGAGAAGCCTGGACAGAGAACTGCACAAGCAAAAACAGTCGCAGGCATTATTTATCTTCATTGTGGTTTGGGGCAATCCAACCTTAATTTTTGAAAAATTATTTTTTCACAATGGCCACTTTTGCACTCATTATTGTGATGGAACATTATGCATGGTGAAATATTGGTTCTAAGAAACAGGAAGAACTGCTGATGAAAAGAATGTGAACATGCTTGTTGAGCTGCTTAATAAATAACTATTTGATGATGATTCTGCACTATGTTTAGAGGGTAATTCTTCTTCTGTTGCTTTAGAGAGTTCATTTGGCATTCGAAAATGGATGCAATTTCAAGATGTGGCCAAAATGTATCAATTAGCCTGACATCTAGGTCTTTTTAACAGATCTATAAATTTCCAATTTCCTTTGCCATCTTAACCATGCTAAATCATCCTGAACAAGATCATTCCTTTGAACAACAGCCTCCTTATTAGCTGAGATCAATTGAGATTAGAAAATGAAAAATACACCAGATGCTGAGAACTCTTTATGAAACCGCGTTTGCAGGATGAGTATTGAATGAGGATTAATGTGTTATGTGCAGCTTCTAAATCACTGGCTGAAAAATTTATTTTTTACATTTCACTGCTGGATTAAACACTAATATATATTTGGATGGTGTACTTGCTTGCAAGTGTTATCTTTTCCCTACTGAGTTAATGTATTAATGGAAGGAAATGATTTTTAATTTTAATGCCTCTTGCTTTGTCTGCCATGTGTGTTTCTGAAAGTACCTCACATTAAATTGGGTAAATTGATTACTTTCTTCCATTGAATTATAAATTAGCAGCTAGATAATTTGTTTTAACTTCTGATTTTAATTTGCTCCTTGGATTTAAAAATAAATAAATAAGAAGAAGCAGGGTCCCTAATACATGATGTGGACTCCGTGACCTGGAGTCTGCCTCTTTTTAAAAGCAATGTCACCTCACTTTCTATCTGCACGCCCCAGCTGCACTGGCTATATTTTTTTAATGTCTTTCACTTTTTAAAAAAGATTTATTTATTTTTATTGGAAAGGCGGATATACAGAGAGGAGAGACAGAGAGGAAGATCTTCTGTCCGATGATTCACTCCCCAAGTGACCACAACGGCCAGTGCTGTGCCAATCCAAAGCCAGGAGCCAGGAACCTCCTCCAGGTCTCCCAAGCGGGTGCAGGGTCCCAAGGCTTTGGGCCGTCCTCAACTGCTTTCCCAGGCCACAAGCAGGGAGTTGGATGGGAAGCAGAGCTGCCAGGATTAGAACCAGTGTGCATGGGATCCTGGAGCATGCAAGGTAAGGAGTTTAACCGCTAGGCTACCGTGCCAGACCCTGTACTTCCTACTCTTAAAACTAATACTTTAGACTCAAGCTTTTGCAAATATTGTGAAAAATTGTAATCATCTGATATTGTCGATTCTTTTTTGCCTGTTTGTAAATAAGCTGCAAAATTCATATATACATATCTTTCTTCACTGATGAATTTTTTGCATCGAAAAATGTGTCATACAGAATGTGCTCAAAAAACAATTATAAATAAATGAGTAAATTAACAAGATGAATGGATGAATTTTTCTTATCCTGGAATACTAAATTACCATCTCTAAATTTAGGAGCTTTTTTTTTTAATTTAGGAGCTTTTAAAAAAAGATGTATACATTTTATGTGAAAGAGTTATAGAATAGAGAGAGAAGAAGAGAGAGAGATATCTTCCATCTGCTGGTTCACTCCCCCATATGGTTGTAATGGCCAGGGCTAAACTGTTCCAAGAAAGCCAGGAGCCAGGAGCTCCATTGGGGCTTCCCATTTGGTATGGAGCCAGGGTCTCCCTTCTGCTGTTTCCCCAGGCACATTAGCTGGGAGCAGGGTTGGAAGTGGAGCAGCTAGGACTCAAACTGGCACCCATATGGGATGCCAGTGGCATAGGCAGAGGCTTAGTCAACTATGCCACAGCACTAGCCCCAACCTGGGAAATTTCTATCCTTCATTCAATTTCCAAGCTTAACTGTCATTTTTCTAAGGGCACTCTCCTTTGACCCCAATTTTAACTTATACATGCCATTGTTTGCGTGATGGTTTAACTTCTATTTGTTTTTCTCTAAGCTATACTCTATTGGGACAGAAAAAAAAATCTCCTTCTTAACATATTCCCAACTCTAGCACAGTGCCTGGAGCATATTTGAATGTCCAACAAATATCTGATAAATGCAAACATGGAAATATGGAAACATTATAAACTCAGTACCTCTGTAAACAACAAAGAGTAACTGTGGAACGACAAAAGAATATTCTAGTACACTGCATAAGTTGCTAATTAAAATGCCCTTCCAAGAATTCAGCAGTGCTTGCGGGATCACTGGTGGCAAGCTCCCAGGGGACTGACTGTATTTGCGTTTCCAGCCCTCATACACAGAACACACTCACTAAATGGTGGTTTACCTGCCCAGTAGTGGGAACCATAGTGGAATATGCGCTGCTTCTTAACCCTCAAGGGGTTTAAAATTCTAATGAAAATTGCTCTAGAGATTTTGATGAAATATTTAGATAAGAGTTATAATTTTTGCTGTTTGTATACAAAATACATGCAAAAGTAGAGCAAAGTATGTATCATGAATCATAAGTGCTTTGGATAGCCACGCGAGAAATAAGGCAAGGTGTAAAGGTCCACTTTTTGGAAAATGATAAGTTCATATGCGTGTGTATGTAAGGGGTGTACTGGCAAGCATCCTAAATAAAAGTTCAACTTCCTTGGCAAATTTTGATGCTGTTTAAACTGATCTTGGAAAAATGGATTTTCTTGGTACTCTCTTGTTGGATTGAAGGCAGACAACAAGGGACTATTTGCCTGGGTATCACTATGAATGTGTCATAAAAATGGGTGTCTTTTCCTGCTGTCCAACAGTGGATAGCTAATGATCACAAACAGGTTCTGATAATGTTGTACGATGTTGCTCAAATAGGGCTGCATTATGCAGAGTACAGGCTAGTCCTTGGAAACTAAAGCACAGACTCAACTCCAGGTTCCACTGTTGGAGCATGCTCAGCAGAGGTCCTCAGCTGTATTGTATCATCTGTAATTATTATATACAACGCTGTCCTCACAACATGCCAACCTCTTCCTCTGCAGCTCTCATGGATGGACAAACTGTGAGCATATAAGCCAAACAGAGCTTTTTTTCCTCCCTGTTAGGACATAAATAATCTGGTTATTTAAGGGTTTTGAACTTCAGGGTGTTGAGGGTGAAGTTCAATGTTACCACCATCGGTAAAAAGAGATGAACACCTTCTTTCACTCACTGTGCCAGGTAGCGATTATCTTGGAATACGCACACCAGCAGCTCCTACCCTGGGCACACCTGTGCCACGCAGATGTCCAGGAAGCACTTGCATTCACACACTCATAGCTACACCACACACACACCCAGAGGAACATATCTAGAAATTCTTATCCTCACATCTCTGCGCATGGGGACACCACACCCTCCCCGCACCCACCACACACGTGCGCGCGCGCGCACACACACACACACACACACACACACACACACACACACACACACACACACCCCACACACACGTACACATCTCTTGCAAATCCAAGTAGGCGACACAAGTCTCCCAGCCCACTGGTTTGTTTTTCTCTCAACCAGGCTAGGTTTTCAACCCTGGGTGGTGTCCCAGCGCGGGTAAAGCAGAAACTTTACCGCCCTCTCGGCCGTCTTTTTAACTTTCCCGGCGCTCCCCTGGTTCCCATGGGGCCAGGTGGCGCCGGCCGGCCAACGACTCCCGCGCCCTCCCCGCCGGTAGCCGCGCCGAGGGGCGGGGCCGAGCCGGCGGCCAGGAAATGCCCACGGGTGCTTGTCACCTGCCCCGGACGACTTGTTGATTCCCAGGAGCACCGCCTTTTCCGTCGCGGGCCCTCGAGTGGACGCTCCTTACCTGTTCGCCAGGTGCGGCCCGGGGAGCTGCTGGGACTCTCCCGCCGGCCCCACACGACGGCACAAGCCATGAGCAAGTTGGGCAAGTTCTTTAAAGGGGGAGGCTCCTCTAAGAGCCGCGCTGCCCCCAGCCCCCAGGAGGCCCTGGCCCGACTTCGGGAGACCGAGGAGATGCTGGCCAAGAAACAAGAGTACCTGGAAAATCGGATCCAGAGAGAACTCTCCCTGGCCAAGAAACACGGCACCCAGAACAAGCGAGGTAGGCTCGGGAGCCCTCCCTCTGCTGGGGCCCTCAGCCACAGGGCCAGCCCTTGGAGACAACCGGCCTGTGGTCCCCCCCAAACCCCCAGAAGGCCAATTTGGCTCCTTCAGCCTTTCTGGAGACCAGTCCACCCCCGCCCCCACCCCGGGCCCTGACCAGAGCCGGGCACTTTATATGAATATTTAAAGGACACACAACACAGAAAAATCCTTGATGAACAAGATACCCGAATGATAACCGAAGACTGAATCAGTATTACTATTGTTTTGCTTTTGCCTCGGGCTCCCAGATGGTTTGGTATGATACTTCCTTAAAGCTCTTTTTTTTTTTTTTTTAATGTGATAGTTTATTCGTCGTGGATTCTTTTTGTTAATTTTGAGTTTTAAAAATATTGTATTCAGATATTACTTATATTGATGACTGGGTTTTCTGGTGACCCCCTGAGTTTTGGTGGGGGCCACTTTTCCCATTGCAATCTTACTGATTCTAACAAGATATATGGGGTTTTCTGCTGCGCGTTTTTATATTGAATTACACATTTTAACCTGTCCATATCCGGTGAAGCCTATTTAGGTTGTTTTGGTTTACTTTGCTCCTCAACTGTTGAAAACTTTAATTGGATGTTGTGCAGTTGAGATCTTTAAAAAACAAAGAATTGCACGTTCCATTTCCTGCCGCTGGCTTTGGGCACACACAAGGAACTTTGAGCCAGTTATGATTCGTAGTGCTACTTTGCACCTTGGACTATCTGTTTCTTGCCGGAGTTAATTGGTTTTTTCAGTGTGCAGCTTTCCCAACACTCAACAGTACCCACGGTGCAATTGACAACTCAGGGAGAAAGCTCAAGTGATTTATTCTTGAAACATCGGGTCAATAGCAAATCCAGAAATACAAGGAATTGGCCAAAGAGATGTCAGCTTACCATCAGACCCCGGAATTTGCCTCCTCTAGTTGAGGCCTCTTGGTTGTAAAGAAGCCATGGGGTAATTTAACTTACCTAAATGATGCTGTCATTGTTTCATACAAAGAAAGAATGGTGTCCGGACAGGTTGACCCTGGAAGCCCTGCTTCTTCCCATACAAGTGTGTCTGATATATTTATGCCTACTTATTACTGACAATAAGAAGGTCAAGTTTTATGATTCTCTGCTTTCGGATATAGCTTTTGTCTACTTTATTGCCTGTTTTCGAGTTATGTACTGGTTTCTGTTTTTATTTTAGGGTTGAAAATTTTGGGGAAAGTTATTAAGTGGCAATTTCTAAAGAGGGACTGTGCCATTATGGCTTGCTACGAAGGCACAGTCACTCTGCCCTCCTTCAATATGAAATGCATTCTGCCGTTTGCTCAGTGTCTGTCAAGGGATATATATATTTTTAATCCATCTGGATGTGTATATAGTCTTGTCTATTGTGGTTGTTCAGCAAATACTGTTTTTCAAAAAGCTGAAAAATTGAACTACTTCTAGGGAGTGATACAAATATAAGTTTGCTTCTAGAGTCAGTGATGTAAAACATAGTATGGGGGGTTTTTGGGGTTTTGTTTTTTCATTTATATGAAATACATGAAAGTGTATTAGAAACTTGTTTATAAATAAAGACCAAAAAAAAAAAAAAACCAGTAAGGACAATACTAATTAAGAGTACCAATCTAACTTATAAATGTTAAATGCAGATAACCAATAATGCTAGAAAATCCATGAATCTTTTTCTTTTTTCATCACTTATCCTGGGGGAATTCACTGGTGCTGTGTGCAGTGACCCTGAGAATGAGGAGGCTGCTTGGACAGAGGTCAGCTGTGTTCTGAACTACAGAAAGAATTCAGTGACAGGCCTATGCATTAAAAACTGCATCAGTATCATTATATTCCAAATAAACTTGAGAACTTCTTATGCATATAGTTACTGTCTCCCATTGCATTGGGAGTTACCCATTCCCAATGTCGTTGCTAGAATGGCTGCGATTTATATTATAATCAGGGTGACATAGTGTATGCATAGTTTAAATTTTGCTTCTGGAATGACTGGTTGGCTAATATGGTCCCAATAATAGCAGCTGAATACCCAGATAGCAGTATATTAGAAAGGAGAGAGTCCTGACCAGGGCAAGCTCTCCCATCGTGTGTTTGTCTGTAACAGTATTTTTTTCCACAGCATTCTGAATGTGCAAAACAGGTTTTGTTGGAAAAAAAAAATGAGTGCTTTTTAAAATTAGGATAATAAATGTTATTCTTGGGCTCTCTTTGCTACAGTGGCAGATATTCTAAATATATGGGTTGTATAAAATGATTAGATACTTTCTGGTCTTCTGGGGCTCTCCTGCCAGGTATGAACAAGTAACAACAATCTATTAGGTACACAATAAATTAGATATTAGAATGCTGCCTAAGGCTTGATTTCCAAACAGTGCAACCTCTAGTCATTGGTTCAGGTGTGCTTTCTGGTTGAATGGATCTTCCATAGGGCATGACACCTGCCAGGAAAGGTTGCTGTCTGTGTCAGTAGAATTGTTCAAAGGTATATTGAGGACCCTGTAAGGACAGAGTTGGGACTATATTGAGCCTAGGAAGCAGCTTTAAGGAACTGTGTTTCTAAGATTCAGTTGTTTTTATTGGAAGGGCAGATTTACAGAGCGAAGGAGAGATAGAAAGATCTTTTGTTCAGTGGTTCACTCTCCAAGTGGCTGCAACAGCTAGAGCTGAGGTGATTTGAAACCAGGAGCCAAGAGCTTCTTCCTGATCTCCCATGTGGGTCCCAAGGCTTTGGGCCGTGCTCCACTGCTTTCCCAGGTCACAAGCAGGGAGCTGGATGGAAAGTGGAGCAGCCAGAACACAAACTGATGCCCATAGGGGAATCCCAGTGTGTGCAAGGCAAGGATTTAGCCATTGGGCCATCACGCTGGACCGAAGAAACTGTTTTGCTTGCTTCCCAGTGTATGTGTATTTAATATGTGAATACAGAACTTAATCTTGCTTTTGTAATAACTTGTACAAGGTAGTGCAAGGGTACCTAACTCTCCCCACCTCTGTTTTTTTCCTTTTTTTTCTAGTTACCTTCATCGTGTATCAGTATAAAAAACCTGTGAGCATATGTGGCCACATTGCCTTTTACTGCAGCTATGCTGTCATGTACACAAGGCTTTTTGATCCAAAAGAGTGAGTTAGAGTGAGAGTCATAATTTTGTTAAAAACTTAGGAGGCCCAAGTTTCTTGAATGCAGTTTGTTCGGATTACTATGATTTAACTCCAGCTCTACAGCTTGTAATCAGCTTTCTGGAAAAGCAAACCTTTGATACATCACTGACTTTTTTCCCCTTACTTCTGAGAATTTTCATCTCAGACAGTTTTGAATCCTGACTATATATTTAAAAGCACTTGGATGGCTGGATTCTCTGCTGTAGATTCTCATATAATTGCTTCGTCTGGAATTCAGGCAAGTTTTCTGTTGTTGTTTGCTCGCTCTTTCTTTCTTTCTTTCTTTCTTTCTTCCTTTCTTTCTTCCTTTCTTTCTTTCTTTCTTTTTCTTGTGTTTAATGCCTCTAGCTGCTTGTGCCTGTTGTCAAAAAGCAACAGGAGCATAAAACATACGGATCAGGTCTCTTATTGACCCAGTCCTGTGCACGGGCCATGAAGTTCTGTTGCTTTGGCTGGGACGGGACAGGTAGCCCTGCACTCCTGATGCCCCAGGCTGGTGGTCTCATGACCGTCAATATGGTAGCACCTTGCAAACAGAACCTGCTATGCTGCCTTGATAACAGTCCTTAGGGGATCACTCATTTTTAACTCTTTTTGAAATCTTAATAATAAGTAGGTGCTCACTGATACTTAGCTCCAATATATCATCCCAATATAACTTTTGTGATTTTGATAGAAAGCAACTAGATACTCTCGTCAAAAGCCTGAGCAATCAGCCCTGCATTGGATCCCAGCCTCAGAGTCCTTAAGCCAATCATCTGCCTGTCGTGCCCCTGATTTTCTCATCAACATAATGGCAATGATAAAACTGATGGGCTTGTGAGGATGAATGATGTTATGGTATTACATGATCATTGGACCTGAACAAATAGCAATTGTATTTTTTTAAAGGCCCGAGTCTGCACATGTATTGGTCCACAGTTTTTGCTCTGGAATAGCACCAGATGAATCCACTGCATCTGCCCCGTGAAGCTTGTACACATATTTGAAGACAGCAGTCAATTGTCCCATGGCTTCTCATTCCCCCTTTCGGTGGCCCTTGGCTGTACAGAGGTTTGTTCATTGGAGCCAGGTCTAGGAAGAGGCAGGTGGGGTGCATGGAACTCGCGTGGGACATGTGTGGGACATGCGTGGGGCAGTGAGAATGCTGCTTTATACTGTGCACTCACATGCATCTTTCTCCCTCACGCTGGTCCAGCCCCTGTCACTCACATTGCCACGTCTGAGTGGCAATCCCCAATATGTCATTATGTAAAAAAGGTGGATTTGGTCTGGGGTGGTCTGCTGGGTGCTGGCTCTTGGGTGGGCACTGTCTGTTAGATAAACAGTTGATGCAAATTTGGTCAAAACGTCTACTTCTTATCGCTACTTATAATTTCATTGAAATCTGAAGCTGCAGCTCTCCATCTCCTCTCCAGAGGAGTGTCCAGCCAAACATCCTCCATCGGAACAAACCTTCTCACTTGGAAGCTCAGGCTGGGTATAGGTGAGACTGTGAGAATCAGGCAGCAGATTTATTTTTCTTTGGGGTAGGAGTGTGTGCACCATCCCACTCTTAGCTCACAGGAGGAGCTTCCTCCAGCTCTTGATTTTGTCTTTTGTTATAGTTCTCGTGGAGCTGAAATCTTCAACCCTCAGACCCTGGGACCCGAGAGTATCTGTGAGAAGAAAAGCATAGCACACAGTCGGCTGAATGCAAAACCTCTGAAAGCCAAAACACAGCTCGGTGAAAAGAGCCTGTTATAGATTGCAGGAGCTGATGGAGGCTCCCTGGGGGTTATGGCTTACCTCAGGGGGCTTCGGCTAA